GCGAACCCCAAAATCGCCTTGAGGCGCCTCTGGAGGCGCCGCAGCCGCGAGCCCTCGGCCAGGGGGGGCTGCCGGAACGCGTCCTGCTCCCCAAAAACGTACACGGGCACCAGGGGACACCTGCGGCCACGGGGAGCGCCCCCAAAATCCGGGGGGGGGGCTGGGATCGGAGCCCCGAGATGGCAGCGACCCCTCCCCACCCTGAACCCCGAAATCCGAGCGGGGAAAGCACCCGGAATTGTGTCCCGGGAGCCCCGAAATTTGGAATTGGAGCCCAAAATTTGGCACTGGAACCCAAAATTTGGCACTGGACCCCCTCAAATTGTGTCCCTGGACCCCAAAATGTGTCCCTGGAACCCCCAAATTCTGTCCCGGGAGCCCAAATTTTGACACTGGACCTCAAAATTTGGCACTGGATCCCAAAATTTGGCACTGGACCCCAAAATTTGGCACTGGATCCCCTCCAATTGTGTCCCTGAACCCCAAAATCTGGCACTGGACCTCAAAATTTGACACTGGACTCTCCAAATTGTGTCCCTGGACCCCAAATTGTGTCCCTGGACACCAAAATTGTGTCCCTGGACACCAAAATTTGGCACTGGACCCAAAATTGTGTCCCTGGAACCCCCAAATTCTGTCCCTGGACCCAAAACTGTGCCCCTGGAGCCCAAAATTTGACACTGGATCCCCTCAAATTGTCCCCCTGAACCCCAAAATTGTGTCCCTGGACCCCGGAATTGTCCCCCTGAACTCCAAATTTTGTCACTGAATCCCCTCAAATTCTGTCCCTGAACCCCAAATTGTGTCTCTGGACCCCAAATTGTGTCCCTGAACCCCCCCAAATTGTGTCCCTGGACGCCAAAATTTGACACTGGACCCCAAAATTGTGTCCCTGAACCCCAAACTGTGCCCTTGGACCCCGGAATTGTGACACTGGACCCCAAACTGTGTTCCGGGAGCCCAAATTTTGGAACCGGACCCCAAATTTTGGCACTGGATCCCCTTAAATTGTGTCCCTGGACCCCAAAATGTGTCCCTGAACCCCAAAATCCCCCCAAATCCCCCCCAGGCCTCACCCGTGTCTCAGGGCCAGNCCCCCCAGGCCTCACCCGTGTCTCAGGGCCAGGCGCACGAAGCCCCTCCGCTGGCCCAGGGTCACTCGGTGACATCCCGGGGTCCCCTCGAGCGCCTCGGCCGCGCCCCCCACCATGATGAGCAGCGCCTGCGACTCCTTGGCCAGAACGGCGTCCAGACAGCGCTGGCTGACCGGGCACAGCCCTAAAACCCCAAAATCCCAAAAATCACCCCCAAAAAATTATAAATCCTGCAAAAAACCCGGTGAAAAAAGACAAAAACAAACCCTAAAAACCCCCAAAAGAGACCCTAAAAACCCCAAAATTCCCCCAAATCAGAGCCCAGACAGCGCTGGCTGAGCGGGCACAGCCCTGAAACCCCAAAATCCCCCCAAATCACCCCAAAAATTTATAAATCCTGCAAAAAACCCGGTGAAAAAAGACAAAACCAAACCCTAAAAACGCCAAAATCCCCCCAAAAGAGACCCCAAAACTCCCAAACCGGCCCCAAACAGCGCGGGTTCACCGGGAAAAACCCAAAAAATAACGGGGTCAGGGCACCCCCAAATCCCAAAATACAAAAATCCCCAAAAAAATCCCAAATCCTGGAAAAAAACCCGGTGAAAAAAGACAAAACCAGACCCTGAAAACCCCAAAATTCCCCCCAAAAACACCCAAAAAAACCCCCCAAATCCTCCCCAATAACCCCAAAATTGTCCCCAAAATTGTCCCCAAAAATCCCCCATAAATCACCCCCAAATCCTCCATAAACCCCCCAAAAATTGTAAAAAACCCCATAAATTAGAAAAAAAAAAACCCAAAAACCCAAAAATCCCCAATAAAACCCCAAATCCCCCATTACACCCCAAATCCTCCCAATTTCTCCCAAATCTCCCTCCCAACATCCCAAAAATTCCTCAAAAACCACCCAAAAATCCAATAAACCACTCCAAAAAAAACCACCCCAAAATCGCCAAAAAATCCCCCAAAAATCCCCCAAAAATTCCAAAAATTAAAAAAAAAATCCCCAAAAAATCCCCAAAAAATCCCCAAAAAATCCCCCCAAAAAACCCCAAAAAAACCCCAAAAAATCCCCCCAAAAATCCAAAACAATTAAAAAAAATCCCAAAAAATCCCCCAAAAAATCCCCCAAGAACCCCAACAAAATCCAAAGAAAATCCCCAAAAAATCCCCCAAAAACCTCAAAAAAATTCCAAAAAAATCCCCCCAAAAATTCCCAAAAAACCCCCCAAAAATCCCCAAATGCTCCCAAATACCCCTGAGATCCCTCCCAAAACTCTCCNTCCCAAATACCCCTGAGATCCCTCCCAAAACTCTCCCGAATCCCCCATAAACCACCCAAAAAACCCCAAAAAAATCCCCAAAAAATCCTAAAAAAATAAAAAAAATTTCAAAAAAAAAAAATCCCGAAAAATCCCCCAAAAATTCCCCCAAAAAATCGCCAAAAAATTCCCAAAAAATTCCCCAAAATCCCCAATCCCGCTCACCGGCGGCCATGGCGTATTCCCGGTACAGGGGCAGCCGGAAGAGCCCCTCAAATACCCTAAAAACCACCCCAAAAATACCCCCAAAAAATCCCCCAAAAATTCCCCAAAAATTCCCAAAAAAATCCCAAAAAATCCCCCAAAAACCTCCAAAAATTCCCCACAAAAATTCCCCCAAAAAATTGCCAAAAAATCCCAAAAATTCCCCAAAATCCCCAATCCCCCTCACCGGCGGCCATGGCGTATTCCCGGTACAGGGGCAGCCGGNTCCCCAATCCCCCTCACCGGCGGCCATGGCGTATTCCCGGTACAGGGGCAGCCGGCAAATACCCCATAAACCACCCCAAAAAACCCGCTAAAAATCGCCAAAAAAATCCTAAAAAATTCCCAAAAAATTCCCAAAAAATCCCCCAAAAACCCACAAAAATTCCCCACAAAAATCGCCAAAAATTCCCAAAAATTCCCCAAAATCCCCAATCCCCCTCACCGGCGGCCATGGCGCATTCCCGGTACAGGGGCAGCCGGAACACCCCTCAAATACCCAAAAAACCACCCCAAAAATACCCCAAAAAAATCCTAAAAAAAACCCAAAAAATCCCCAAAAATTCCCAAAAAATCCCCAAAATCCCCAATCCCGCTCACCGGCGGCCATGTCGCATTCCCGGTACAGGGGCAGCCGGAAGGGCCCCTCGAATACCCCATAAACCACCCCAAAAATACCCCCAAAAATCCCAAAAAATCCTTAAAAAATCCCCAAAAAAATCCCAAAAAATCCCCCAAAATTCCCAAAAAATTCCCAAAAACCCCCAATCCCGCTCACCGGCGGCCATGGCGCATTCCCGGTACAGGGGCAGCCGGAACACCCCTCAAATACCCCATAAACCACCCCCAAAATACCCCAAAAAAATCCTAAAAAAATCCCAAAAAATCCCCAAAAATTCCCAAAAACCCCCAATCCCGCTCACCGGCGGCCATGGCGTATTCCCGGTACAGGGGCAGCCGGAAGAGCCCCTCGAGCGCGGCCAGGCTGGGCCGCAGTCCCGGGCACGGCCCCGATTCCCCCCCAGCTTTGGGGGTCCCGGCCGCCCCCCGGCCCCCGGTGACGAAAGCGCCGAAAATTCCAATGCAGGAAATGCCGTGAGGGTGAGCGGGAAACACATAGGAACGGCCTGGGGACAGGGGACACTCCCGGACAACCTGGGGACAATGGGGACACATTGGGGACACACTGGGGACATTGGGGACAATGCAGGAAATGCCGTGAGGGTGAGCGGGAAACACATAGGAACGGCCTGGGGACAGGGGACACTCCCGGACAACCTGGGGACACATTGGGGACACATTGGGGACATTGGGGACAGCATTGGGGGACAGGGGACACTCCCGGACAACCTGGGGACAACATTGGGGACACATTGGGGACATTGGGGGACAGGGGACACTCCCGGACAACCTGGGGACAATGGGGACACATTGGGGACATTGGGGGACAGGGTACACTCCCGGACAACCTGGGGACAATGGGGACACCAATGGGGACATTGGGGACACATTGGGGACATTGGGGACACATTGGGGACATTGGGGACAATGCAGGAAATGCCGTGAGGGTGAGCGGGAAACACAGGAACGGCCTGGGGACAGGGGACACTCCCGGACAACCTGGGGACAACGGGGACACATTGGGGACATTGGGGACAGGGGACACTCCCGGACAACCTGGGGACAACATTGGGGACATTGGGGACACATTAGGGACATTGGGGACAGCATTGGGGACAGCAATGGGGACACTGGGGACAGCATTGGGGACATTGGGGACAATGCAGGAAATGCTGTGAGGGTGAGCGGGGAACACATAGGAACGGCCTGGGGACATTGGGGACAATGGGGGACATCACTGGGGACACCGTTGGGGGACAGGGGACACTCCCGGACAACCTGGGGACAACATTGGGGACAGCAATGGGGACATTGGGGACATTGGGGACACATTGGGGACAGCAATGGGGACATTGGGGACAGTGGGGATACTGTGGACAGTGGGGACAGAGAGGGGACTGGGGACAGTGGGGAGATTGAGGGGACATTTGGGGACATCGGGGGACAGTGGGGACATTTGGGGGATTGGGGACATTGGGGGAATTGGGGACATTTGGGGACATTTGGGGACGTTACCGTGATGGGGAAATAGTCACAGAAATGGTCCCAGATGCGCCAGTTCCGGAGCCAGTCCCAGTGCCGGGGCCCTGGGGACACCCGGGGGACATTGGGGACACCCGGGGGACATTGGGGACACCCGGGGGACACAGGCACAGGGTCCTCAATGTCCCCAACCCCCTGCGTCACCCCATGTGTGTCCCCAATGTCCCCACGCCCGTCCGTCT